TGGGGTTTTTCCTTTTTATGTTGGTTTGTTTATTGTGGTAACATTGGTTTATAACATTGTATAAATTTCAGGTGTACATCATTTACTTCTATTTCTGCATGGATTGCATCATGTTCTCATGTTCACCACCCAAATACTAATTACAATCCATCACCACACATATGTGCCTAATCATCCCCCTCATCTTCCCTGCTACCCCCTCCCCTCTGGTAACCACAAATCCAATCTCTGTCTCTATGTGTTTGTTGTTGTTATTATCTACTACTTAATGAGTAAGATCATAGGGTATTTGACCTTCTCCCTCTGATACAATCCAGCTATTCCACCGCTGGGTATTTATCCAAAGAACGTGAAAACACCAATGTGTACAGATACATGTACTCCTGTGTTCACTGCAGCATTATTCACAATAGCCAAGTCTTGGAAGCAACCTAAGTGCCCATCAAGGGATGAATGGGTAAAGAAGATGTGGTATATATACACAACCGCATACTACTCAGCCATAAGAAATGATGAAATCCAGCCATTTGTGACAACTTATTGGACATTGAGGGTATTGTGCAAAGTGAAATATTCCTGTGTTTTTATTGCTAATTTGATATACATGACTTAAAATGTCATCTTCACCTTTATTTTCCCTTACAGATTTTTCAATTTTCTTCTTCCCTAGGGGGAAAAAAATAACAACAAGAAATCATCAGTTTAAGAAACATGATTTTCTGACTCAATCTTGGGGTAAACATTTGGAGATGAGACTTAATCCCATAAGTGGAGGAGGGTCAGGGCTCTGCCTTTTCAAAATGTAAAAGCAGAGTCTCCCTCCCATATGTGAGAACATATATACTTTTGTTATCTTTGGTTACTCGGCTTATATTGTCACCTGTACAGAGAGCCCCTCCCTTTTTTTTTTGCTTTTGTTTTTGTTTTTACATGCTTTGAAGTAAAGCTAGAGTAAGCCATGCATTTATTAATAAGTTTAAACTAGTTACAACAGGAAAACCGTCTAAATTTTCAATTGTTACTTTTAGAAAATGAGAATTTGACTGGTGCTATGGATGGTCAACAAATAAATTATTGAATAAAAACAATGAGTCATAAAATATCTCCAAGCAAAATGTGGACACATGTTTTTCAAAACAGTTTTGGTTGATTGATGATTTTCTTTAACTATATTTATCAGACGAGAGTGAGAAGGAAACCAATATTTAATGAGTGACAATCAAGTATGTAGTCAGAATGTCACATAGTATGTTACTTCATTTAATACTTATAACAAGGCTTTTTGGGAAGTCCTTATGCCTGTTCTGTAGATGAGGAAACCAGGAATCTGAGCGGTTAAGGGATTTTCCCAAACGTTACACAGCTAGATAGAGACTCAAATTTACATACTATTTCCACAGATCTGTTATCTCCTCTGGGAAAGCAAATATTTACCTGATTCTATGACTTCTGATGTTTCCTCTTTAGGAAAACAAAAAGAAAAAGAAAAGGAAAGAATAGTTTTGTATTTCAGTAGCAGACAATTAAGCTTCATCTGTAGATATTTCCTATCAAGTTCCAATAGTAATCACAATAGACACATATACTCAAAATGGCAAAAAGTGATACTGATAACTAACATTTCTGCAGATTGTAACTAGAAATCTTTTGAAAATGGAACCACTATAGAAACTAAGCTATACAGTCTATTCGTATATAGTAGAATTAATCAATTCTAAGTCCTTTGGTTGGTTATCTTAATTATACATTGCAAATTATAAATCTCCGTTACATAAACTTTTAACTTGATTTTCATATATGCATGCATGAATTCATTGAATATTTATAAAGCAATTTATATGCATTAGAAGTACTAAGTGCAATGGGTGGGGTTGTGGGATTAGGTTAAAAAATATCACGGAAATAAATTCAACTCCTGGTGACTACGGTCAGAGTAGGGAGACAACATATAAAATATTATTTGTCTGTAGCCTGTGATAATGCACAGCCGCCTTTGTTTTTGTTCTTTCAGTAAATTCATAGACCAATAATATTTTAAAACATAAGATGGCAGGTTTTTCAATGTATATCTTTCTTCACAAATCAGTTTAACTGATAACATTTTCTATAAACCTGATACATTAAATTATTAGTTTATATAACCTTTCTGGAAGCTATTTTCAAAATTCAGGAAAAATGATTAAAATATTTTACAATAAAGATGGAAAATTAATACAATTTCATAAACAAAACAGTATTTTCAAAATTATTGTGGTGATATTTCATATTGGAATTCTAGTTTTGACATTGAACACTTAATTTTTGTAATATTCTTTATATTAGTAGCAATAATACAAACTGAATATACTAGAGATTTTCTCCCACTGAAAGGAACATTTAATATTTTAGCATTGGCACCGAATCCATTCAGAATAAAATCGTAGCTGCATTTGTAAGAAAACTGTCCTAACACTCTTGAAAAACCAGGTTAGTCTTTGTCATTTAAAAATTTTAGATACGACTTCTAGATACACTCAATTGGAATGCACATATTTTTACCCCAGGGTAAACTCTGGATCATAATTTAACCGTATTAAGTAAACAATTTCATTTTTATGAAATTGCATAAAATTTCATAAATTTTCAAAGATTTCATTAACTGTTGCATTTTTATTATTTTTTGAAATGTCAAAATAAAACAGTGATTCTGAAATATTAAAAACAACTTACCTTCAGGCTTTTAAAAAATTAAAAAGCTAACGTGTGAAAATTAAATCATTGAAGACAGGTATTATGTGTTCTTCATGCTGTGGGATCTTCATACTGTGTTTACTTAACACATCCTAACAAACAACTAAATGTACATGAAAGAGAGATGCAACCACTTTTTTTCCCACAGGTATTAGTTATCATGGTGAATGTGTTAATGACACAGGTATGACAACAGAAATTTTAGGCATTCCCTCTCATATCCCAGTACAGTGTAATGTATCTAATAGGAGCTCAATAAATACATGTTCAAGGATTAAGGAATGCAGTACAAACGATATTCTTGTGTCAATCAGAATCATTTATGTAGTTAATGGCACAATGGCTATTGCATTAATAAACATACCATACATTTTATTACTGCATGTACAATTAAAAGAAATTATACAATTAAGATAACTAAATAGCAAATTCTTAAAATTCCAAAGTGGTACACTTACTTGAAATGGGTTTTGCCTTGTCTAAAAAAGAAGGGGAAAGGAAAAAAATTCAGTGTTAATTTTCTATCTATGGGTAAAATACTTGCCCTTTATATTTCTTATTTCTGTGTGTTCAAGTTAAAATAGGAATAGACTAAGCATATTAAAATTAACAATAGGCAATGTATTTTGAGTAATTTTGAAGTCATATTCTCAATGAATTTCCCAAAGAACAAGTTGCAAACTTCAAAATATAGAATCTTCTTGGTCTCTTCTTCATCCCTGTAAAACTTCATCTTTGGTTTGATGTAATATGAATGCTCACGATAATCTGAACTCCTTACTGTTTTTGAATGGCCACTGTCCTTTCAGAATACATATTAATATTAATTAATACTAACTATTTAAACTCTCCCAATCCAATATTTTGAATGAATAAGCTGACCTTATAAAATATCAAGAAGAATAAATGAGCAGTAGATGAAAAACACAAAACTACATCGTCTAAATGCGTGATCTCTTGCTTCATATATGTTGTCTTTTAAAAGTACTATCTAGAAGCATCAATTATGCAGTCTTACACCTAAAGATCTATTTATTCATAAAAAAGGGGACAACATTTGCTCATGATTGTGAAGAATTTGAGTCATCCAAAATTAGGTCAACTAACTAACTTATTAACATTGGGAATACAAATTGATATAACATGTTTTAGAGAACAATTAGGAATATCTACCAAAAAATTACTCTGAATACACCATTTCCCTAAAAAATTTTACTTTAAGGAATTTTACTCCAAAGATAAATTCACAAAACTAGACAGGTAGATATATTTATTATTGTATATTATTAAAGAAAGTTTGTTAGACAACTTAAACATATGTCAATCAAAGACTAGTTAAGTAAACTGTGTATAGCTATACAATAGAAGACTATTAATGAGGAAATTCTTTATGTACTGATATAAAGTAAATCTTCAAAATACATTCTTACATAGAAAAATCTAGGGACAGGGCTATTTTTAGTATGTTATTGTTTTAGTAAAAAAAAGAAAAGTGGGAATATATATTATTTGTGTATATGTATGTGTATATGTTATATATACACACACACACACACACACACACACAGTATATACATTGCTAGAAGGATACATTAAGAAATAACAGTGATTACCTAGTGGATATTATTTGATATTTTGGAAATGGGAGTAGTAAAATGGTACAATAAGAAAAAAGAAAGCAGAGGGAGGGATATTTTCACAGTTAGCCTTCTATCTGCCTTAGTGTTTGCACCATGCCAAGTATTATATATTTTAAAAATTGAATAATGTTCTTAAAAGAATTAAGCTAACTATTATATAATGGAATAATTTCTATTTTAAGAAAATATATCAAGTTGAAATTCATGATTAGTTTTCAATAAAACGTAATATGTGTAATTTGATAGAATGTTTTACAATACTATCAACATAAAATCAACTTCATTAGTATGATAAATGATATTAATATTGACAATAGTGAAATATTGAGTATTTTGGAACGGTCTAGGGAATCATGAAGGCAAATGCTATTTTGTTAATACAGCTGTATTATAATAGCATGTCCGGCAATCCACATATATTAGTTATAATATTTAGCAAAATGTTTGATTGTCAACAATATCATAGGCTTTATGTCAGATAAACCACAAGACTAACCATTACCAGTAAATAAAATGAAAAGCACTTGTATGCTTTGCTTTAATTTTCAAATTTAATAAAAATAGTGGATTAAGACAATATAAACCAAAAAGGCAAAAACACCTGTTTTTGTAGATGGAGGTTCTTTTTCATGATGTTCAGCTTTTTCTAGAAAGAGAAATCAAAATTAACTGGCAATCTGTGGATTGTTTGTGTAGCAAGCATTTTTTATTTATATATTTGCAGGCAATCCTCATTTATATGGGAAGCATGTCCCCAAAGTCATTTGCATGTAACTTGGAACACAGAAAGCACATTGCCATAGAAACACATTATACACAAGGTCAGGTTCATTCTCAGGGCATCTGGTAAGCATGAAGGTACTAACCCCCTTGGGGCCACGTGGTACAAGAAGAGAAGAGAATATGACAAAGAGGAGAATAATAAAAAGAGGATTTTTTTTTTCTTTGCTGAAAGTTGAGTCATTCCATGGGGATATTTTAAAGCAGATAACATTTGCCTTTGGCATTTTACAAGCTCCCTTTTCACCTCTCTGCCTCCTTCTAGCTCTCTTTTTGCCGAGTCAGAAGCAGTTTGGTGCTGGACATTAGTTTGTTGTTGAAAATTTGACCTAGACCCGCCCTATTCCAAAAAGTACCCCAGTTTGTGTTTTCATTTTCCTGGACGACACTCTCTTTCCAGATCGAGTTAGAACTCTTACAGATAAATCTCAACTAAATCTGGGACATGACAAGTGGAATCAAAATGTGTAAATGACATCCCTCTTAGCCCTCTGAAAAATGCTTGCATTAAAAAAAATTTAGGAGATCTCTCTCTTTCATCAAAAGTAGAATTTCAATGAAGCTATCTAGGGTAGGATATTTTGAATGGAGTTGAGAATATTTGGAAATAGAGCAAACCACTGCCACTGTTAATTCTTTCTAGTCACCCCCAGGGTTAGTCCTCCTGAGCTGTTATTGATGTTTACACTTCCATTCCTTCCTTCATTCCTGAATTTGGAGATTCTTTAAAAATACTACTATTTTTCCATAACAACCTGCACCAACAGTGAAGTATGTGGGAAGATGGGGACCGAGGTTGTCATAAGACTAAATTGGGTATTTGTAAATTAGGAATTGACAGCATTCAAGAATGAACCTCCATGAACTTAATTTGCATAAATTTTAATATTAAACTAGCATGCAATATAAAAGAAAATTAGGAAGTTAATAGTCAAGTTGTTAAGCTGTTATAATAATAGCAATGCAAAAGTATAATAAATTATAGTAACAATAATAATATAAAATGTATATTCAAAATACATGCAACAGGTTCTAGGATGTGAATATGTTCTATTTAGGCTCCATATATTTGCACCATATCTCCTCAACGACTTATATGGCCTCCTAACTGGTTTCACCAAATTCGTCTTTGAACCCTATCAATCTATTTTCCATATAGGAGCTGGAGAATATTTGACCAATAGCCACTCATGCCTTTATCTAAGCTTCCGTTTCACAAATGTACATCATTCAAGGACCAACATCACAATTTTGACACAATTTTGGACATATTTACTACTTGTGTGACAATGGGCAAATGTTCACGCCTTCCTGAGCCCAATAGTCACATAACGTGGTAACTTCTGTATCAGTTCTGAACAATAAAATGGATGTTCTTTAAAGTTCACAGTCATGAGAAATTTCCACGTTTTTAATAAACAAATGGCAAAACGTTTAGAATTTTATGGTTTTCTAAATTCCAAAGAGTATCTACAGTATAATTAATGCTGCTTAAAGCAAACAAATTAAAAATAATATATGGTTCATAATACCAACAATTGTAGAGAAGTTAATTTTTTTGTTATTCGTTATATATGTTTAAAAGATGCCAATCTATCTTAACTTCTTAGTATTATTTTATAGCCTACATGGACTTACTATTTTAAGATTAGTATTAGTGATCCAGTTTTGAGGTTTCTTTTGCATAATTATAGAGAACTCTTAATTAGTTGTGAAAGACAAGGATGTTAAATCAAAGCCATAACATTAATTTATCACCTATAAAGATATTTTAGCCTTAGACAACACTAAAAATTGTTATTAAAAATAAATGCAATTGTTAAAGTTGAAATGGCCAAGCGATATGTTTCAGATTTTATTTTCATCTCTTACTTGCTGATTTGGGCTTGACTGTGGAGAATGGAGGAAAGTAAATGGCATATTGATGAGTAAAAACCATGGAAAAAATAACTCGTTAGCATATGTACTTATCCTTCTTAGTGTTAGGTCCTCTGATTATCTTAAACTTAGTCCTTTCTCTCTGAGAACTGTTATTTCACTGTCAACAAATATATTAATCACACTGCTTACTGAAAAACTAAGACACTGGAAAGGTATGCAAAATTTAAAACAATCTAAGTATTTGGGACATAAATTCATTGGCTAGTTTCTTCATAATCCCCCAAATACCCATATAACTAAATGAGATTCTCGGGGGGTCATATTAACCCTTTGGGTGCAAATTAGAGGAATGTTAACTGAAATTATGATCTTAGGCAATGGTGGAATAGAGTACAACGGTCATATGAGGTAATGTGAAAATGGCCTTACGAGATTTCTTTCTTTCTCATGTAATAATAGCCTAGAATTTCTATAAATAATTAATTATTTCCTGAATTCTATTTTCCTTTGAGAAATTGTATTTAAATCCTGATTATCATGACAATCTCAGTTAAAAGAAAGAAATTATTTCACAGACTTTTTCCTTTGGAATGATTTTTAGTAAGAGATAGGACTCTACTAATGACCAAAGTGGGTAGGATTTCTGTCTTGGAATCAAATAGAGGAGATTCAAGATGGTTCAAGATGTCAGGAGAGATGAAGATTCAGTTTTGTTCATCCTTACAGGAAAAAGCTCTAGAATTTCAAGAGCATGTGCACTCCTTTTTATTTTCTCACATGAAACAATGAAAGATGGAATGTATTTGCTTTGATATTATATATTCTGCTTATTCTTTAGGGCAGATTTTAAAAGTTATACAACTACATAACTCTTTGGCGCGCTCATGAAAGGAAGTTATTCCATCTCATACATAAACGGCAGACAGTTTAAGATTTCTGTGATTTGAAAATTTGAGGAAATGTGGTTTGAAATAAGATTAAACACCTATTAGTACATGATAATCAATGAATTACATGGATTTCCTCATGAATTATATGTAAAGTTAGGTCAATCACAATTTAAAAAAATAAAGTTGTGTCACTCTAGTTTTTCACTGTTAATTGTTATTGAGTATATCTTTTAGTTATTTACAAAAATTCAGAATCTTGGAATTTATGGCACTATTGGTGTACACACTTCAGTGAAGATGCGAGTGTGTGTACGCACACCCACATAACACAAAACTGATACATAGAAGAAAAATCTGAAACATCTTGTTTACCTGTTTTTTCTATTGTGGTAGCTTTTACCTGCTTGACAACTTTTTCATCTGTGATAGGAAAAAATGTTAACAGAAATTTTAAGTGCATCAGTACAAAACGGTGACATATTTCAACCTTGATATTTTGTATTCCCTTTGAAATAACAACATTACTGAGAAAAACTTAGCTGATTCTTCAATAAAACAGCAATTGATATCTTCTATTCAAATTGGATGGGTGCACAAAGAAAATTTGTGCAGCTGCAGACATCCTTCACAGTTATCTCACCATAAATGTTTTCCTAAGGCAAATCACCCCCTACCCTGCCAATATACACCCTATCCCTTCCCTTCACTGCATTTCACTGTATTTATCTACAAGGAGGTATTGTTTTACAAGACATGTATCCCCTTTTCATTACTGAATTACAATAGGAATAAGCAATTTTTGACATTTCTTGTGCAAGATACCTGCCTAGAAACCTAGGATTAGCCTGGAAACCCAAGTTTTTTGTTTTTTTGGTTTTTTTTAAGTATTTTAAGCTAAGGAAGGGCAAAAGTGGTACATTTATGAGATGTCTTCTGTCCTCTATGTTTTCATAGACATAGTCAAGGGGATTTGGGTCAAAGTACAGATTGTTACATGATCCTCTATAAAATTAAACTTTTCAAGTATTTAGTAATGTCAGTGAATCAGCTGGTCAAATATCCTAATTAGGAAGTTTCATTGGGAAACAGAAAATTTGGAGTATGAATGTTATCACTGAAATGAAAGAAAAGTGTGTCCAGAGGACAATGCATTTGCTATACACTCAGAGACTAAACTCTCTCTCTCTGGATTTCACCTCAAAAATGATTGACATTTGGGACAGTGAAGAAAATAAGAAGATTTTATTATTTATTAAATTAGGAAGTTCTAAAAGTTGTTTCTAAGGTTTTGTTTATCGCAATACTGACTGCTCTCCTTGCCTCCCCCACACCCCAGCTCTGCTTTCTTTATTCCTATAGTTTCTGTTTTTTGGTGTCTCATATTCTTTAAAGCCTAGACAAATAAAATTGAACTGGCTCAAATCCATTGTAAATGGATTTTCTAAAGTAAAATTTTAAAAATGTAAGTAAAAGTTTTTCTAAGATATGCTTAGAGAAAGTTCTTTTTGTTTTTGGTGAGGAAGATTAGCTCTGGGCTAACGTCCGTGCCCATCTTCCTCTACTTTATGTGTGGCGTACCTGCCACAGCATGGCTTGATAAGCAGTGCATAAGTCTGCGCCCAGGATCTGAACCTGTGAACGCCGGACTGCGAAAGCGGAGCGCACAAACTAAACCAGTACACCACCGGGCTGGCCGCGAGAGGAAGTGTGTTTTTAACTTATTAAAGATTCTGGCCTAACCATATTCACAAGATTGAGTAAAAAAATTCAGCCTGGAATGAAGGACAATATTCTACAGAATAACTAAGGTTTGGGGCCACTTCAAAGTTAAACTCATATTTAATTAGCTTAAATTAAAACAAAGTTTATATTCTTAAATAAAAAGTAATTAATAAACTCATTTTGGTAAATTCTGTATCTCCCTTTATGAGCAGAATACATTGGCTTACCTCTACTTTCTCCAAAATGTAAGACCAAGAATGAAAAGAAAGTAAGAGAGGCAAAGATGGAGGAAGGAAGGAAAGAGGAGAGGAATCTGGGAGGGATGTTGATTTCCATTTCTTGGGACTTTTGGAATCTAAGATGCTCATGTTTGAATGAGCCATTCTGAGTTACAAGTTTTCTAAGGATATCTTGCCCTAAACAGAACAAAACAAATACAGAGCCCACTCACCTGAAAGCTGGCAATGATGGTTTTTGGGCTAAGCTAAGTCTCTCTTAGGAAGGGATGACTAGCTGTCTAGTCATATCTGACGAGTCAAGCTCTCAGTACAAGAAACATTGTGAAGATGACTAAAATTGGAGATATTCTAGAATCTGGATGACTTAAGACATGAATCGTCCCTAATAACTTTAGATTTGACTCTAAGCTCTTCATCTTGCTAAAACTAGAACATTGAGAGACAATTTGATGCTACAAATACCACCTGCAAAATACCTGGTTTACCATGAGAAACAGTCTTTTCCGGTTTCACTATGTCTTGTTCTGAAAATAATAAGAAAATCTTTTCAGATGTTTAGAAGCTTTATCAATTAACATATGGTGGATTTTGTCTAGGATGTAGGCCAGTGATTTGTTAAGCAGAAAATAACTGCCAGATTTCAACAAATGTGCCCACGGAGAAAAACTGTTCCAAAATTTTCATGTCATCCCAGTTTACATGAAAAACTTAAAGGTTTTGGTTGCATGAAAACAATATACCAAGAATTATTATTTATATTAAGCACCTATAATTTCCAAAGCATAGGCTGTAATAAAGCATAAATACCAAAGCATAGATTGCAAATATACGTTATTGAAAATATTTAGTTTTCTTCTAAAAAATGCTATATAAGCATTATAGATGAAATTAATATACATACTGTGTACTTGAGCTTTTCCAGATGAAGCTAAAAAATAAACATTTATTTATTAAGAAAAACATTTAATTAAATCACTTGCAAAATTTTAATATTTAACAATAATAAATAAAAGTTTTAAATGGTACTAGGCGTAACTAAAAGTTTCAAATGGTGTTGGGCTTCTGGTAAAATAAATTAAAATAATAAAGAAGGAAAAAAGCAAAATGTTTGTATCTGGTAACACATACTCATCTGCAGCAAGTAAATACAGTCAGGAAAATAAATCATAAGACAGCAGTTACATTTACAAGCCCTGATACATTAAAAATGTATTTTTTACAAGAGCACTGAGAGTCAAGCTTATGATCAGTTGTTAGGTGAGCTCCAGTGAGAATTAAAGGGGTAAGATAGTATTGAATATACATCTAGACTTGGATTCTTGAATTTGTTGATATTGAAGAATCTGGTTATGTAATTTTTTATAATGAAGCAATAGCTTCCATAGAGCCTGAGGGTCTTTTTTAACTTGCCTCAGGTCAGTAGCTAGTTGGCACCAGAGCTAGGACTTAAGCACTAAATAGCAATGTAAACTTAGAAAAGTTACCCTGATTTTAGGTCAATCTTACCTCTTAATAAAATGATCTTTAGTCTGGGACAATCTCTTCTTGGGAGCACCCAGGGTTTTGAGTAAGTCAGACAAAGGTAGAATCCTAGCTCCACCATTTATTAACTTGAAAATCTTGGGAAAATAGCTAATTTTCTTAACTTAGTCTATGGAACTGTTTCCGCAGATATTGAATATGGATAATAATTGTCACGTTGCATGTATCTCATATTGATATGATGAAAATAAAAATCCTATGCTATTACTTAGCTCATAGCAAGGAATGAGCTTAATAAGTTCTTGTCCTCTTTCTCTTCAAATCCCAGTAGTTTATGATTAGTGATTTTATAACTCTGGTATGTTATCGGAAATAAACCCACAATTTAAACATGATCATATTAGGTTTCAAAGAACCCCAAGAAATGTCTCCTGAAATCTTGAGTCTCTGCTGACGTCCATTTAAAGCCATATTCTGGATGGTTTTGCCTATGGAATATCCCCATTCTCGTCCAATCGAGTACTATAAACCCATATTGAGCAAAGAAGTTGGAAAAATAATGAGGATCTGGGAGACTGTGTAAATCCCCACTGGAGGGCGGTAAGCCTCTTTTAGTTTGAAAATTAGGGTAATATTGACTCTGTATCTATTTAAGAATAAAAATATTGTTACCTGGTTTTGCTTCCTTTTTAACTTGTGACTCTGAAGGGAAAACAAAAGGCAGAAATTTTTAAATCTGAAAAAATGAACTGGAGCACAAATTCATTTGTGAAAATTATTTTACTTTGCTTGCCATAATTGAAAAAGCAGACGTTTACTAAAAATTATTCCAGTTTCCTGCTGGTTTGTCAGTGCTGGACTATTAAGCACACAGTAGTTAAAATCATCCCATGTACTTGTCTGTCATTAAGTTGTTGCTACTGCTAATTGAGTTCAACTTGAATTTTCTATGTTTTCTCAAGATGATTGCTGTGATGAATAGTTCCAATGTCGACATCAGATAAATGATTTGATGACAAGAGCTGCAAGAGTCTCTTTGAAATATATCTAATTGGGTACTTAATGTGATTTTGAAATTTAGACAAATAATGTTATGGCTTGAATTGTGTCCCACAAAAGATTGGTTGAAGTCCTAACCCGTCATATCTCAGAATGTGACTTTATTTGGAAATAGGATTGTTGCAGGTGTGATTAGTTAGGGTAAGATAAGTTCATACTGGAGTAAGGTGGTCCCTAAATCCAACCTGACTGGTGTCTTTATAAGAACAGGAAAAGAGCACAGAGAGAGATACACAGGGAAAAGATGGCTATGTGATGATGGAGGCAGAGATGGGAATGATGCATCTACAAGCCAAGGAACACAAAGGACTTCTAGCAAACACCAGAAGGTAGAAGAGACAAGGAAAGATTCTCCTCTACAGGTTTCAAAGTGAGTGTGGCTCACTGACATCTTGACTTTGGACTTCTTTGTGGTACTTTTTATTCCAGTCACCCAAAGAAACCTAGAGATTTTGGTACCAGGAATTGGGATGCTACTGTAATAAATACATATAAATGTGCAAGTGGCTGTTGAACCGAGTAATGAGTAGAGGGTGGAAAATTTTGAGTCACTTGATAAAAATGCCTAGATTGCCTTGACAAGACCATTGGCAGAAACGTTAACACTAAAGGCTATTCTGCTGATGACTCAGAAGGAATTGAGGAGAGCCGTAAAGAGAGCTTCTGTCATCTTAGAAAATACATATATTATCATGAACAGAATATTGCTAGAAATGGGAATGTTAAATGCGCTTCTGGTGAGATCTCAGAAGGAAATAAGGAACATGTTATTGGATACTGGAGGAAGGATGATCTTTATAGGAAAGTAGCAGAGAACTTGGCTAAATTGTGTTCTTCTGTTCAGCGGAAGTTAGAATTTGTAAGTGAAGAACGTGGATATTTAGTTGAGGAAATCCAAGTAAAATGTGGAAGGTGCAGCCTGGTTTTCTCTTGGTGCTCATAGTAAAGTGTGAAAAGGAAGATAAATTGAGGAGTGAACTGTTAAGCAAAAGGAACTAGCGCTTGATGATTTGGAAAATTTTCAGCCTATCTAGATAGTGTGCCCTGGAGACAGGGCCAAGAGTGTGGCTGGACAAACTGGTGGATCCAATCCACTACCTCAGCAAAAGGCAGGAATAGATGTGTAGTTATACAGAAAAGATCTGTGAAGGACCCTCTTGTCCAATGGCTTGGACCCCCGTAAACTGAATGCAAGACTGTCATGTTTTTGAGAGTTTTATATAAGCAAAAATATTGCTGGCATGGACAGAAATGGACCAAGACAAGATATATGAAGGAATAACAACTCTAAGGGCAGAGTCATGGATTCAAAGACCTGGGCTGGTGGGACTGCTTTGGGTAGAGAGGGCAGGGCTGCCAACCAGGTAAACCAAGACGGCAGAGCCACCAACCTACCAGGCCCAGAGGACCCAGCATTGAGCCAAAAAGGATAGCCTCAGGTCTTGACATCTAATGGAATTTCCCCTGCTATGTTTTGGATTTACTTGGGACCCGGGACCTCTTCTTTTCTTGCAATTTCTCCCATTTGAAATGGGAATGTCTATCCCAGTCTGTCCCACTATTCTATTTTGGAAGCAGATAATTTGTTTTCTGGTTTCCCAAGTTCATAGCTAGAGAGGCATTTTCTGCAGGAAAAATCATACCTCGAGTTTCACCCATAACTCATTTAGATAATGAGATTTATGACTTTGAATTGATGAAATTTTGGACTCGGTTGATGCTAAAATGATTAAGACTTTTAGGGATGTTAGAATGGGGTGAATGTATTTTGCTACATGTGAAATACATGAATTTTGGGGGCCCAAAGGGTAGACCTTTATGGATTGAATTGTATGCCCCCTAAAGATATGCTGAAGTCCTAATCCCCAGCACTTCAGAATGTGACCTTATTTGGAAATAGGGCCATTGCAGATGTAATTAGTTAAGATGTGGCTTTATGGGAGTAGGGTGGGTCCTTAATCCAATATGACTGGTGTCCTTATAAAACGAGGAGAAAAGACACAGAGATGAAGACACAAAGGGAAAAGATGTCCATGTTATGACAGAGGCTGAGACTGGAGTGATGCCTCTGCAAGCTAAGAACACCAAGGATTGCTCAAAAACATCAGAAGCCAGAAGAGGCAAGGAAGGCTTGTTCCCTAAATGGTTCATGGGAAACCTGATTTCAGACTTCTAGCTTCCAGAACTGTGAGAGAATAAATTTCTGTTGTTTTACTATCCCTAGTTTGTGGCATTTTATTACAGCAGCCCTATACACTAATACAATTGGGAAACATGAACCACAGTTTTAACTGTTTTGAGAATCAGATTGCTGTGTGTTCTTTTAAAAAAGTTTCTACTGCCTACTGAAGCCCTCAAAAATGTTCATATCTGACTCAGGAGCCCCCAAAAATAGAAGAGTGAGAGCAGCTGTTTTTCTGAGAGGATGTCTGTGTCCTATAGTAATCAGCAAAAATAGGGGTTTTGTAGGACTCAACTCAATTAGTCAATTGCTTCTTCTGAACAATACAAATTTTTCAGCGGTTTCACGCATGTAAATAGAGTTTTGTCTAGGAACAGGTAGTATAGATAAATGCATATTATGTTTATTTTAATTTAAAAAGTTAGTCAAGGATAAAATTTTGGTATAACATTTGCACGAGGACACAACATTTACAAGAAGTATTATGCTATTCATTATAAATATGGAATGCAAGTAGGAATCTCTATATAAAACATACATACCTGGCTTCTCTTCTTTTTTCACTTGTGGCTCTAAAAATATTGGTAAACATTAGTAATGATGATTATATAAAAAATTTATTTCCTGTATTAATGCATATTTCTTTTACCTATTATTCATTGTTTTTTTAATCTGTCATATTAATATTCTTCTTCTTATGATTGCAGCAAATTGATATAAACAGACAAGTAAAAGTTCATTATCAATCACAATAAGAATTATTTTGAGAAAAAATGGAAATGTGAACTAAGATTTTTAATGAGAAGTTAATGAAAGATATTGGTTTGTACCTCCAGTTAACAAAGAATGAAAGAAAATTTCAGCATATCATATTCTCAGAAATACACCTAGGATAATAGGCACATTGTCTATAGAAAATAGTTAAGCCCCTGACTTTGAGCAAAATACTCAACAATGGAATCATAAGTAAAAGCATATGTTTAAGATTTGCTTCATTTATTTATTTTTTTGGCATGCACATAACATACGTGGAGGAGGTGTAGGCTTGACTTCTTTGCCTAGAAAAATTTCAAAAATTATTAAAGACTGAGTCATTCAGTTGTTATTAAATTGACATTGAATATGATAGAATATTATATATTTGAAAATTAAAATGAAACAACATGGACCCCAGCTATTGTTTTTTATTGGAATTCTATAGGATGT